ATCAACATTTCTGTAAATGTGCCAAGAGGCTATTTTGCATCTGTAGTCCCTGGACAGATGTTGTAAGTCAACCTAAAGACACATTTAATTTTAAACAAGTAAATACAATCAAATAAAAGCATGCAACATACAGTAGTGGAGTGACTGTATATCTATTATTTCAAAAGTCCTACTAACTGAGTTGGATTACAGATTCTAAAACCCAACTATAAAGGCAGCGGTATACTAAATAGTTCGGATGCATTTTAGAGTGATATGATGAACGATAGAAACACTGACATCACCTTACGGCTGGAGCCTCCTCAGTGTGGATATTGTTCACATACATTTATTTATAGTTATCACTATAGATGTTGTTCTTGGTCTGGACAACACTTAACTCTATAGTTGCATGTATAGTGGGCCATAAAAGTAATGATTTTTACCTTCATGCTCTGTATAAAACCCTGTGAAGGCTGACCAGTAACCAAAATCAATAAAATCCACTAACTGTATCATCTTCTCTCCTCCGGCCTCTCCAGCCACACAAAGACAGTTTTGCAGGCAGTGAATCCCAGCGCTCCTCCCTGCCCCGTCGGACGCGTCCTCTGGTCCCAGAGATGTGCTTCAGCGTCGGAGCCAGCAACACGGAGCCTCCACCCACCAACTACCACATCGGAGAGGATGGAACCAGTCCTCTGCTCTGCTGTTCGTCTTGCAAAGTGCAGGTTCATGCAAGTAAGTCCAAAAAAACAATACGAATTTCATTGTAAAACTTGCAATAGGGGAGTAACATAAGAGGACAGCTGTCACAGTTTGTACCAGTTATAAAGGCCTTCCTCTTCATATGTTAATGTTGTTGTTGTTTCTCTAAGATAAGCAATGAAAAATTAATCTGAGCACAACAGAAAGCTGTAAATGAAAGTCAACATTTGCAGATTGCAGGAAGCTTTGCAGACACAGACAGACAGACAGACAGACAGACAGACAGACAGACAGACAGACAGACAGACAGACAGACAGACAGACAGACAGACAGCTTTTACACTGCAGCTCCAGGAAGTACTGTCACTGTAAGCCTTCTCCCTCTAAATTAGCTCTGGTTCCTTCAGGATTCATAAAACCTGGTTTGAGTGGATGATAATGAACCATCATAACCAAGGTTGTGTCAATAATACAATGCATTTCCCAATGCTGAAAAGTAGATGTTGGATTGCATTGGTGACTTCAAAATGTTCCCCCTGTATTTTTGGTTGAATTGTAAAGTGGATAAAGGGGTAAGAGAGCAACCTCAGATTGTTTAAATCTGCATTTTGTCATTTAAAAATGCATTTAGTGATCAATATGTTTTTAAATGTAATATAAGTGGAGGGCTACGGCTGCAAACATAAAACTAAAATACTGCTGAAAAGTGATGTTTTATTCGTGTCAACTGGGAGACTCAGCTGTAGACACGCTGCTTTGTTTTATTTATGACACTATTGGTTTCACGCAGCCCGTACACCACTGACAGGCTTTACAGACAAACTATACTGGGTATTTCACTTCTCTCCTCTGTTCACAACTTTTTTTTTATATCCCTCAACCTGTGAGAATTGTGTTGGAAAAATAGGAAAGACTGGAATATGAGACTATGCAACAACAGACTGCACAATTCCCCTGTTGCCACGCTCAGGGAGGATTCCTAGTTTATCCCTCCTTGACTCGGGTTGAACTAAATAAGAGAATGCTCAGGCAGCACAAAAGCCTTTCTGAAGGCAGCATGCCATAAACTACCCAAGCTTGTTTTTACTCTGCTTATCTCATTTAATAATTTATCACAAAGAATTACGACTTGTAAGGGAATATGGCTTCTGTCAAAGCAAAGCGGGTTAGGGCAGTCAGCTTGTTAACTTTGTGTTTGAGTGAAAGAGCTCTGGGATCTCTGTGCTCTACTTCTACTTGCTAAATGTTAACAACACCTGTTATCTTCCCTAAGCAAAAAAATATATTTTATTTGGTTGTTTTTAAAACATATTTCTTATGAAATGGCATTTTAATTTACCATTTTTTCAGTAGGCCTATATAATGAAAGAACGATATATCTGCTGGAGCTGTCTCACACAACCCATCATTCCAAAAAAGCCATCAGATGAATTACAACATGGACTTGTGCACAAATGCTCAGTCAGAAACACACACACACACACACACATTACCCCCCACACACTTACAAACCCTCCTGGGTTCTTATTATCCCCAAAGCTGGAGTGCACCTTCAAAAAGGCCAGTTCATTAGTGATCCAGGGATAAGCTGAGCTCAGCTGGGGATGCGGCGCTGCTATTGATAAGAGGACATGAAGCAGAAAGAGCTCCTGTCAAGAACACCAGCTCTGCGCTCCGTTTCTGTGCTCGTCATTGTTTTGGAGCAGACATTCAACTAAAAATCATTCAAACCTGGCTAGGTGTGACAAGCCTTTTTGATTCAGAACCTCAAATTGGTGATAATGACAAGAAGATTGTGCAGGTTAAATAGAAAGTGGTTAACAACAGCTCTGGGGCATAGGTTAAAAAAATACACTTCATCTAAGGTGCTTCCAGAACATTAAATGCAACATAATCTAAATAGATACAAAACCATTCATCTGTCCTCTCTTTCAGGTTGTTACGGCGTGAAGACGGACTCAGTCAGGGAGTCCTGGACGTGCACCAGGTGTGCAGCGGGAGCCTGGACCGTGGTAAGTAGCAGCACTGCCGTGTGCAACAACAAACAAACACCACAAGTCCAGAAAAGCTGTTAAGTCCTCTACTGAACAACAATATTTGAATCAAAGAAAAGTATGAGGGAATAGGTGAAGTTATTTATTTGACTTTTCGTTGACCGGACCTGCAGTGAAGCAGTCTTGCAACGTCTGGTGTGTCAAATTTGTTTTGATTACTTTACCCAGCAGCTATAGCAAAAGAAACTCAAAGTATAACTCTAGAAAATGCAGAATTGACTGTTTCCCTCACTGCCTAAATGTAATACTTATTTTCTTCTTTTTATCAGGAGTGTTGTCTCTGTAACCTGCGCGGAGGAGCTCTGAAGTCCACCATTGACAACCGGTTAGTAGCATATGCTTTTTCTTTTTTTTTACCCATTTTATTTGTGCAGAAACACCCTTGAGGAAAAAAAAAAAAATGAAATGTTTATTTAATTTCTATCATAGTTAGTTTTGTTAAGTCTGACAACACAGGTTTTAAAATACTATAGGTCTGATATGATCTATATACACATATTTCCAACATCTGATCTAGTTCATGGAATACTTATAGAAAGAAATGTGTAAAGTTATCACTCTCAATGCAGAACACACATGAGTTTACAATAATTGACCCCAGCATTGAGTGAAGAGTTATCAGCCTTGTATATCTGGTTACGCTGCTTATGTTGGATCTTCCAGAGACTGAAGTGTGTACGGTCTCTCTCTGTCACCAGGTGGGTCCATGTCATCTGTGCCATCGCTGTGCCTGAAGCCCGCTTCGTCAACGCCAATGACAGGGAGCCGGTGGACGTCAGTGCAGTTCCAGATAGACGCAAAAATCTGGTACGTTTGTACAGACACGAAGCAAAATTGAATTATCTCTTAAGTGTGAGATCAGACAGGCAGGGGTCAACATTTTAACCGAAGCAAGAACATTTGAACAGTCACTATTTTCATCCTCTCTCTCAAAAGTGACTTCCTCACAGCAGCCGTTCGTTTCTTTTGTCTTGTCTCGGCGTTATAGAATTCTCTTTGCCTCCCGGATCTCCTTTTCCCACATTTAAGCAAATTCCTGACTCCAGCTCACTGTGTCTGTCACTTTCCCCGTTACCCACTCTCTTTCTTTGGTGGATGGATAGATTGGGTCTTGGCAAGCTGTGGAGGACATGGGGTATAACATATGTGCTGAGGGGAACGGCTGAATAATCAGCTGTCATTTCTCACTGCGCCAAATGAACTGAATCGATCTCGTGGGCAGGAGGCAATTTCCCCATTGCTGCCGCGTCTTTGAACACACCACATCCCCTCCATCCCTCCTTCACAGTCTCTGCTCCACCTCCATTCACATGATCCCACTTCACAGGCAACAGCGGTGCTTGCTGATGCATTATCACAAATCTACAAATAATGTCGCCTCTCTCCCTCCCCTTCTCTCTGAATAATCTATAAAGGACAAGCTGGGTGACATTTGCATCTGAGTGCTGTCAAAGCAGGTTTCTCTTCTTAAAAGGCCATGAGAAGACGCCCCGCGCTCTAATAATTCGGATGACTGGACTGATCAAATGCAAACACGCACCCTTGGAAACCAGTTAATATTGCACTGTCTTCAGCAATCTGTGTTTTCCCTGCACCTTTGAACGTTTAGTTTTCAGTCACTGAGCGATTTCACACACGTTGCTTTCGTCTTAGTTTTTTTCCAGAGTTTCCCAGCTCCAGTAACGCTGCACATTTTTCAAAAATGTACCTTCCCCAAAGGTAGTGTTGCATCGTGCACCTAGGGGCGCTGCGATATCTGTTCGTTTTTAGAAAGGAGCCGCAAGCTAGGAAAAGCAAGCCGCTTAAATAAATCATTGTACGATTTAAAAAAAATAATAATAATGTTTTCAATTTACAATTCCAGCTTCATTCTCCTTTAGCATGCAATGACACATAAACCATAACAGTGACAAATACTTGATCAGTTATTATGTTATCTTATTCTGCAGAAGATGGGGCCACAATTTATTAGTTTAAAGTTGTACAAATGGCTTAAATACTAAAAAAGTTGTAAAAAAGTAAGTTAGTTTTTGGTGTCTTTCACAATCTTACCAATTAGAGATGAAATATAAATGAAAAAAGAGGGCAATGTGGAGTCAGATATCACATAGATCTTATGTTATCTGCTGCTGCGCTCCTGCCTGTTCAGCGGAAAAGTCTTAATCATGCCAGCCTGTGAAATATCACACAGCAACGCTCTGTAGAGAGATGTTGTTCCTACACCGGTACAGAAACGAAGTATTGACAGATTAATAAATAATGTATGTTTCTTATTGATCAGCCATACGCTGCACTACAGATGCTCACATTGTGATTTATCAAAAGGAGGAGGATGGAGAAGAAGGGAAGTGTGTGGTGATAGATAATCACAATAAAACAGGAGCATAGAGAGATAGCAGTCACATAAGATGCCGTCCAAGCTTATAGTCTGTATGTTAGATCCAAGCATGCTGTCATGAGATAAACATTTATAATTCTCTTATCAAATGTGTTTCATGGCAGGTGATTTCTTAACAGATAAATGTTTCTATTAGGGTTGTTGAAGGAAGATAATGCTTCCTCCCCCTTGTGTATTGAGAAGATAACTCGGTTTGAAAGGCCAAATTCCTTTTCATGCTGTTACTCTCTTTCCTCGCTGCACCCCGGCTTTTCATCTCTCCACCTTGTTCTCTCCGTTTTAGCTGAGTAGAGGAACAAATGAGGGATGGGGAAGGAGAGTATAAAGACAAAGGGGGGTAGACATGGAGGGTTGAAGGATTCAAAGTGAATTGAAAATGAATAATGAATGTTGAGGAGTCCTGTGTGCAGGCTGGCACGTGTCAAAGTGGAGAGTAGACCAGGTTCCAAGCCAAAGGGAAAGATGTGCTTGGCTGGTTACACTCCACTGTATTCCTATTCCTATTCCTATGTACGTCTCTTTCTAAAGATGCCTTGCAATTCCAACAATTTCACTGTGTGCCAGAGTAGAAGAGTACAAAAATCTTTAGGGCTCAACTGCAGAAAGGTCTAATACTCCTCAATCCGTGCAAACTTTCTACAATTCCTCTTCCAATTGATGTGTTTTCTAAGCTTCTCATGGTTCTTATGAATATAACAGCCTCAGTAGGACTTGTTATTCTTGTCGTGAAAGCCCCAACATGATCACATCTCCACCATGGCAACAGCAGGCTCACTGAAACACTAGACTGAGATCTGCGCCCCGGAGGAGGATCTGTTATTGTGAACATGAGTGTTTGAACAGTTATCAGTCCCTTCTGGGTTTTTCCTTTTGGAATAAACTAAACTTTTTCTATTCACAGACACAGAGAGAAAACCTGTAGTCTCATATAATGAACCACATTATGAATCATAACACCATAAGTACTCATCCTTCGATATCTATGAAAGTGAATGCCGTAAATACTAAATAAGCTCAGGAGCGCAATTGGAAGCGGTCTGCCGCCTGAATCACCAACTAAACTCTTTGTTTTCCATTTTCTTTGTAGAAGTGTGTATTCTGCCATGGAAAGACGGCCAATCAGAACCGCGGCGCCTGCATCCAGTGCTCACAAGAGAACTGCGCCACCTCCTTCCACGTCACATGCGCACAGATCGCCGGCGTCGTCATGACACCAGCCGACTGGCCCTACGTGGTGTCAGTCACTTGCAACAGGCATAAAAGATTCCCTCCAAAGGTACCTGCACATCTGGATCACAGTCAGCTGTTCTGTGTAACATTGAACCCCTACAAAAACGCATGATTTACTTTTTTTTTATTATGACTAATTTTCTGAATGTTATTGAATTTCCTGCTGTGATTCATGGTGTATGTGTGGGTGTTAATAATTTTTTTGAATTATCAGTGAGCCTTTTTTTAATATCTTATAGAAAGAGTGTTTTTTCAAGCAGCAATCTCAACGACTTAAATGTTGCTTAAGCTGCTGTCACACAAGGAGGGAACACAGTGGGGATTGAGGATATGGCCCACTGATGAAAAGTATTACAATAATTATATACATGCAGTATTACAAACTAGACGTCTGAGGCGACATTTCCAACAACTTGAAACTCATGTATCAACAAGTGGAAATTCTAACCCAACAAAGCCTGAAATCTTTAGGATTGATTTTGATTGTTGCGGCTAAAAGAAAACGTACATGTTATTGAATCATCTCAGAGAAAGCAATAATGCAGATGGAACACTTTAGTTTTGCTCAATGCAATCTTTGGTCTCTCTTATTGTTTAGGTTTAGTCATATGGGGTTTTGAACCGATCCAGAATGAAATCTAATGAAATAAAGTTAAATGTGTTCCTCAAGGATTATCTGAGTGCTGTTTACAATATGAACTGGATGAGCACAAACATAGATCCTGTCTTTACCTCAATGTATCCGTCTGTTTCTCCCCTTCAGCCTCGGACATCCCTCAAAAGCCAGCAGGGTCTGAACTTAGGACAGAAAGTGATTGGCCGTAACAGTGACGGCTGGTACTACCATTGTACACTCATCGGCATGGCAACACAGACGTTCTACGAGGTCAACTTTGATGACGGCTCATACTGTGACAACCTGCACCCAGAAAACATATTGGTGAGTTATATAACATACAGCTCAGTAATACACCTACCTGTGTTCTGTAGCAGACTCATAACCTCAACAAACATATTTCCATTTTGGTTTTAAAGCGAGATTATTAGAATATCCTAGCAACTGTTCTATATGTCCATTCTGGAGCGTCTTTGCAAAATGAAAATATGACGGCTTAGTGAATGCAAACAACCTTTAATGACTCACTGCGACAATCATAACAGTAATTATAGCAGCAGCAACAGCATAAGTGGTGGGTTTTCTGTGGAGGAAGGAGAAAAAGAACCAGAGAATGAAATATCAATAATCTAAATACTGTAAAAACGTACTTTCTTACAGCTTGTGCTAGATAAAAGTAGAAAGTCTTCAATCATAAGTTGTTCAAGTTTTAAAAGAAATGAGTTTGGGAAATGAAACGTGCAGAACTCTTACTTGTGTTTTCTTTCTGCCATTCTGTTCTCCCTTTCCTCCACATACTCTATTGCCCTCCACCTTCTTCCTCTTTGCCTACATCCTGTTTCTCTTCCTCTCCCCCTTCAGGATCACGACTGCCTGCATTCGGGTCCTCCTGAGGTGGGGGAGTTGATAGTGGTGGGCAAATCTGACGGTCAGATTATCAACGCTTCCTTTATCAAAGAGCACACCCACAAGTCCTACCAGGTGAGGAAAAACACAAATATTAAAGTCTAATGCGTGACTGGATGCTCACTACTCAAAACATTGAGTAGTGATTTTTAATTGCACATTTGACAGGTAAATATCACATTTTTAATCCACGGCTGTTCAAGAAACGACTAGATTTGTTTGTATTTTCCAGCTGCAATGTGAGTAAATGTATGAACACTTCCTACCGTAAAAAAACTATTTTTAAAAATAATGTTATATATTCAGAACAACATTTTCGGCGAGTACTATGAGCAACAGCATCAATTACATCTTTCATCTGACGCTCTTGCTGATTTGAAGCCGTGAACTGGGTAACACGCTGCTCCGTCTCATTTTTTTGCCATCCTCTGGTTTGGTTCCCCGGTTCTGGTATTCATTAAGTCTGGAAAAGCTCGGCTGCCCTTGTAGATGGTTTGCGCGTTTTGATACAGTGTGGCATTACAACATAAAGTGGAGGGATTTGGCATCAGTGGTGCATGCTGGGAAATTTATGGAGCAAATATGCAGAGTGCTTATTGAGTGGAAAATGCAGAATTGCAATAGATGATTCTAGGGCTGGTGTCAGAGGAGGCCATCTTAAAAGTCACTTCCAGACATGGATGCTGGAATGCATTAGCAGGCGAGGTTAAGTGAGGTTGTTAATCTTAGATTTTGCTGTGAAGCCGGATCTGTGAGCACATCTGTAAGCGCTTTTTCTGACACATACACACAAAGGACAGAGATGGTGTTTATGGGGCTGCTTCACAACACACACTGTTGCTGTAAAGTTATTGAACCTTGCCTGGCTCATGATGTCTCTGTGGAAAAACAGTTAAATACATTCATCTGAAACGAGCTTTCAAAAGAGTTTTCGTTCATTCGGGTTAGTTTAAAAGAATACCTTATACGTCTTAGTTTTGTGTTCTTTCTCACACAAATGGCATATCTGTTGATGCACCAAAAAAGAAAAAATGTATTGTGTTTTACAATGAGTTCCTCTTCAGAAAGTAAATCAGCGTCCCACCTTGCTCAGCTCCATGTGTACGCTGGAGGCTGCAGTATGAGAGTCCTGTTAGAGACAAGAAGGGCTGTTAAATTCAGAAAAAGCCTCCAGCTGGACTCTATGTCAGGGACACATCCCTGACCTTGTTCTTTTTTCAGGTTTTTTCGCTTTTTATGTTTGAAATGCTTAGCTGATTCTCACGTCCCGTCAGTAAGCAGCTTCAGAGTTCACGGCTGCGGTCAAGGATGTTTGTTGGTGCAACCATTTGTTTTTCTCAGGTGAGCTGAGACCCATCTGTGACTCTGGGTGCAAGTTTGTGTATTTGCTCACTAAGCCACCCATCATCTTTTCTACGTACAAATGTATCTTCCTCTGATATAAAGCTACATTTCCCCACAGGGATCAATAAAGGTTTGTCTTGCCTTTCTAAAAATCACCCTGCTGATGTAGCCCTTCGTAATTCTTATGGGTCGAGTTCAGTGTATTTGGATATTTGCCAAGTGTACCTAGGTTTTTACTTTCACTCAGGAGACAGTTAGATATGTGAGTTTCATATTTCATCGTTTTTATTTGATTTTTTCCAGGTCGAGTTTCAGGACCAGAGTCAGCTGATACTTAAACCCTCAGAGATCCATCTGCTGGAGCATGAACTCCCGAAGAGGGTCCGAGCCAGACTGGTCAGTATATAACAGATTCTGCTTCCTAACCTGATCACACACCCTTCATGTTGTAACAGGATATAATAAAGACACTTTAGTTTGGCAGATGTTTGCTTTGGCTGACACGAAATATTCATTAACTTTTGCCTCGGCTACCGATTGTGTGTGTGCTGAAGGGTCTCCAAAGAGTAAATGTAAAATGAGTAAAAGACCTAAGTTATTCAAACAATAAATGGGTACGTTCTACTTCTATTGTGCCAAAGGCAGCTTATAACTGCTAGCTTGGTTAGCAATAAACTGAGAGGACAAGATCATCAACAATCACAAAATGGCTGCTTTCATATTTTAGTGCACTATAGATAATACAGTTTCACACAATTGTATTCGGACTCTCTGAAATGGTCACTATACAAAATCAATAGAAAGCGATTTTAGACACAAACAGCTGACCATCCCAATGTTTCCTCAGTCTAAGTCTGTACCTGTCTGTTTTCAGGCCATCCCTGTACCTCAGGTGGGGGTTTCATCCACAGATGAAGCCCAGGCAGCCAAACGCCGCTGCCTCCCGTCAGGCCCCGCCCCGTCCACACGCATGGAGACCACCAATAAACCCCCCTGCTCCCTAACTACAGCTGCTGTAGCATCGCGAGGAGCAGAACATCTCAGTATTCACACATCACAAACCTCACAACCTTTACCCCGGTCCGTCATGACCCTACACGAAGCCCCCTCCCACACCAATGGTATTCAGATGGACGTTGAGACCCCCATGGACACCAGCGTGGCCCTCACAGACGCTCTCACGGAGTCGACCCTGGCCTCAGACGCCATGCTGACTCCGCAGCCAAACCCCTTTTCAGTGGACGTTTCCTTCATGGAGAGCCTCCTCAATTCACATTTCCATCAGGACAGTAGTCCAGGACCCCTGTATTAAAAACCTCCACTTTGTTATTACTCGGCCAGTGGAGGCAGAGCCAATAGGAATTCGCTAACTGAGGTGGATTCACTGAGTGCTGGAATATGAACTAAAAACATTTCCTCCACCGGCTCAGAGAGCTCAGGGTGGAGCGAAAAAAGACACAAGCACTCTTTAATGCATGCTCCTTTTTTATTCTTTGAGTTAATGTATTGCGGTGGTGCTCTGAGGTAAAAGGTAAAGGATTATAATTTTTTTGACATAATTAATATAATTTGTTGTTTTTCTACGCGTTTTCCATTTCTGGTCAGCTGCTGTGCTTCCCTTCTCCAGTTTAATATGAATAAGTCTCTTAGTGGTATCAACTCCATACCTCGGTGCATTAACTCGATGACAGCACACTCCCATTGTCTTTTGTACAGAAAACTAATTATTATAACGGCCTATAAGCATTGAGGCCCCTTTTTAGACTTCTCTTCTTCTTCTTTTTTTTTCTTTTTTAAATCAAACAACCAGCAACAAATGTTCTATTTTTCAATCGGGCCGCTTGTGGCTTTGGAACTGTGAGGTGGAACTAAAGTGTTCATTTTCCATCGGATTGCAAAAGGGNGGGGGGGGGGGGAATGGGGTGAAAAAAATATGTATTGTATGGGAATTCAGTATTTAAATGTCTTAGTCAAATATCAATATAATTATTTGTAATGGCAGAAATGTTTTGAATGCAAACACTAATAGATTTGTTTTCAGGATGCAATGTTTTTTAAAGATGTGTCACAGATCAGGGGCCGTATTCACAAAGCATTTTATCTTACCGCTAGGAGTGCTCCTAACTCGCGCTAAAACATTTTACGTAGGAGTTTTTTCTTAAAAGTTATTCACAAAGCCGCTGAGACCTACTCATACTAAGGATAAATCACTAAGAAACTAAGAGTGACGCGCCGTTGCTATGGATTACGTCGATTCTCGTGCATGAGTTTAGAAGCGGTCAGTACGGTGATTGGTTGTTCAGAGCAGGCGGTCTCGGTGAAACTCATCCGCAACATCCCACAAACGAGCCCACTAAATCACCGAAAAACAAGAAAATAGCCTAGGCTAGAAATGTATTCCTATCAAATAGTTATGGACAGTGCAGTTAGCAGAATACACGCATGATGACAAGTTTGTGCAGACCACGATAATGACGTTGTATATGCACGTTANTCCGGACTAATCGGGTTATTCCTGTTAGTCGGGGATGTTATTGCATCCCGCACTAATTCCACAACAAGTTTGATACCCTCACGATTTAGCCTATATCTCTTGATCAATTCACAGTCTTCCATTGTCTCCAAAACATTTCGTCTCGCAGCCATTTTCAGATTCTTTGTGAATAGGTCTTACTGAGTTAGGAATCCTCTCGAGGACTTTTAAGCTCTCCCAGACTTAGGTGCTACTTTTAGGCCTAAAATACTTTGTGAATTGCTCTTAGTGAATCAAATTAGGAGTCCTAAATTTAAGACTGACACGCCCATTATGTTTAGGAGTTCTCCTAAATTCGCAAGTTAGGAGCTACTTTTAGCCCTAAGATCCTTTGTGAATACGGCCCCAGACCTTTTATGTAGTGATATCATTCAATCTGACATTTGGCAGCTCCACTCTTTTCACCTAAATCTGTCTCAGGGTTCCTGCATGTGGAAAAAATGTTGTTTTAACATCCAAGTCATTTGAAGAAGGACAGAACAGCCGGAAAATATTCATCAGCCGTAATTGGCTCATGAATACCCGTTGCTGATTTTAGCTCCTGTTACCATGTTGTCCACTATTATAGGTAATGTCTCTCTGTCTTCTTTCTCTTATTAGCACATGATCGGGCGAAACAAATTGAAGTCAATTTTAAGGATACAATTCTGGAACATGTATGTTATTTGAAAATATGAAAATGTGTATATGTAGGAACCCTACAATCTGAAAATATGATGTTTTATGATTTGTTTTAATTGTATGTATAAGTCAATATTGTATATTAAGCATCTTGTTTTTGTATTACCCTATCCTTATATTGTACATTTTCTTATTTTTAATTCATAAACTTGGCCTATTGAAAATAGTAATGAGTGTATTTTTTACACATTTCAACACGTGTATTATACTCAGTTTGCACCAGTAAATACATCTTTCAATTTGCGGATATGGCCGTGCTTTGCTTCATGGGTGCTTTTAGAGACATTAAACTACTGATGGACTGAGTTTCCCAACACTATCACCTTGTACATACTGAGGCCATGTGTATTGTGAATCAGATTTGTAAATGTTGCATATATACTTCTCTTTTTTTTCTTTTGTCTGTCATCAAACTGCAATGTTGGGGCACAAACTTGTTCCTGTATCCAAATGAAATCCATCAAGAACGTTTTATTGCAGAGGGATTAAAGTGGGTTGCTAGTCCACAGCTGTTCTGTGTTTTGTGTTCAAAGAGATTTAAAGGGTAGTGGGGGGGGTCAAACTCCACTGACTAAGGATGGAAACTCCATACGGTAACTTCTAATACATTTTCATTATTAAATGTCACAACATTGCATGAACTGTTAGGTGTTGCGAGTCAAACACTTCAGAGACATGTATTGTATTCATCTGAGACCTATAATATATTGTTGCATGCCCTCTCTTTTAGCCCTGTTTCAAAAGTGCTGATTCTGTGTCTGTAGCTTTAAATGCAAATGAGCTGCTGCTGGCCACGCCCCTTTGCAAGATGTTTGGGCTGCGGTCGGGTAATCCAAAAATCAGCTCCTAAATTCTAACCCTATCGTCTATTCCTTGACCTCTGAGTGAAACATCACGGGGTTAAGGGATAGTGGATAGGAGAATTCAAAAGGACTGCGGTACTTTAGAGAATCCGACTGCACTTTCACTATCCGACGTGTTTATGATGCGCCAGCGGACGTCATTTTGTGTGTCTGCTGCTGTGGGAAACTATGGAAACTACAGTTTTCTATACAGCGAGATACAACATGGATGTTAAATAAGAACGACGGACTCATCTAGAGACTCTGCACCGTGCTCTGATGCTGAAATGCTTTATGAACGTGGACAACAGAGAAACATATTCTTCATGACCAAAGTTGGAATTGAAATAAAAAATGAAAGTGAAATGTATGCTCGTCACCCTCTCCCTCCGGTCCACATTAATACAAATGATCCCAATACGTATGATTGTATGAACTATGAAAATATCTTAAAATCAATACAAATGTATTTATTATAAACGTTAGTCCTTAACACCTATCACTGTGTACATCACCATTCAAACATCTTTTAAAAGTTGAACAAACCACACAGCTCAGTGAAATGTTGACTTTATTTGATCATTTCAGTAAAAACTAACGTTCATATTTCTCTTTTTGATTATAATACTGATGGACGTTCAAAACAAAGCACTTTGGCAACTTACCACATACGTTTTAAAATGCTTAAGCACCGTAACGTTCATGATATAATTTCTCGGTCATAATCGGTTGTTTCCGTGAACGGCCGACTGTTGAGTGACGGCAAATGCTGCGGCTGCAATGCATTGTGGGGCAGCATTTCCTCCTCTCCTTTCGTCAAGGGAGGTTCAGTGGTTCCTAAGCTAAAGGAGGTTTTATAACAAAGGAAGTTTGAAACCTCCTTTCCTATCATCTCGAACGGCACTTATCATGGCTGCCACTGAGGGACTTCCGGGTAATTTCACTCCGTTAGGATGGTTCCTAAGCTAAATGGACTATTCGACTGCAGCCCTGGTTTAGAAAAACACAATGGTGCTCTAGGAGGAGATTCAGGTGATAAGGGGCGGGGTAGTTACCTTGGTTGGTTATTGGCTAATTGGCTAACTCAACCCAAAAAAACATTGTGACATCACAAAGTGGCCAAAATCTGAAAAGCAATTTTCAGACAGGTTTTTATATAAATGGATCAGGACAAAAAGAGAGAATTTTTTTTCCTGAAACTTTCAGAAACTCTTTACACAGAGGGGACACTTACATTTTAATTCCTCTGAGTCTCTTAATTAGAAGAAGTCCAACAAGAAAAGGACAGATTGTGAAGAGAGAAGGTCACTGGAAGAACAAGAAATCTGTGTCTTATAGACCAATCGTTAACGTGGACACACACACACACACACACACACACACACACACACACACACACACACACACACACACACACACACACACACACACTCTCTCTGCCCTCTCTGGATCAGGGTGGACATTAGCATTCTGAAGTGCCCGCCGTGTCTTTGCAGAAGAACTGGGGATGTGCCAGCTTGGCAATTACTTTAACAACTCCAGAGTTTGATTTCTTCATTCAGTTAAACCCAGCCACGGGAAAAAAGGAGGAGAAAAATGTGGAAGATGTATTTTTAAAGTAAAACAGTTTGGCTGAACAGTTTGGGAAAAGGAACAGGAAACCTTCAGTATTTTAATAATCTTCGAACAATAGAACCATGAAGGCATTAAAACAGAATGCGTCCTCGTGGCTGTTGAATAATCTCAAAGTGTGGCTTTTGGTTTGAGTCTGTCTCACCAAAACGTCCTTGAGGATGACACTGAAAACTCTAACCTGCTCGGTGACGATCAGACAGCTGAATGGCTCGCATTGGAAGTGGAAATCAGCGAATGCAGTGTGATCTAATTGCAGATGGAAGTGGCAATTATGTTGACAAGCTGGTTGATATGACAGGCTCCATTATAGCCTTAAGCTTTTATTACATTTCTGCCAAGTAAATCACTTCACTGGAGCAGTATTACCATAATGAGTGGGGCTCACTGTCCTGTGTTTCAAGGGGATTGGTCTGAGAAGTTGGTGGTGCCTGATCTTTATGAACTTCTCCAGACATGCAGGACTTTCAAGTGACGTAACTACTTGCATTGACTGGTGGCCATATTGGATATTGCCTGTTGATGGCTAATCTCCCTGCTGTGTGTGTCTAGTTAGCATGATTGCTGCACTGTTGTTGATACAGCTGGTTTGTATGTTAGTTCATTTATCACGTTGAGATATTGGAACAGCAAGAGCATATTCATTTTTCACTGCAAATAGTTTTTCAGCAAGTAACAGATGTGTTGGTGAGCGTCTAACATAACATCCTCAGGTGAGTGTTACACTCATGTTACACTGTAAGTGTGATTTACATAGTGGCAGTGCTCATGTGTGAACAAGGAAAGCCTGTTTGAAAATTACAGATCATAAATGCATGTACCATTTCAACCCAGTCTCATGGCATTTCGTGTTCACCAACACGATTTTTAATCTATTGATTCGTGTTCACCAACACGATTTTCTCCTTTTTTTCGTGTTGCACAGCACGATTTTAAAAGCAATGTATTTCTACTGGTAATGTGTTTCGTGCCTGCAGCACGTCTTTTTCTCCGGTCCGGAGAAAAAGACGTGCTGCAGGCACGAAACACATTACCAGTAGAAATACATTGCTTTTAAAATCGTGCTGTGCAACACGAAAAAAAGGAGAAAATCGTGTTGGTGAACACGAATCAATAGATTAAAAATCGTGTTGGTGAACAGGAAATGCCATGAGACTGGGTTGAAATGACCCCTTA